GAGCCCAGCGCCTGCCTGCCTGCCTGCCCGGCCGCCGGCAAGGCATCGCCGCCGGCTGGTCGCTGCTCTCCCGCCTGCCTTCCCCTCCGCCTGGCGCGCGCCGCCGCTCCTGGGGCCACCGCAGCGACGGCGCTCGCAACTGCCGAGGGAGCCCAGCGCCTGCCTGCCTGCCTGCCCGGCCGCCGGCTCCTGGCTGCTCCAACGCTGTTGTTGCTGCTGCGGTTGGTTTGTAAACAATGGATGACGCGCGCCGGGCGCATCCAACCGCCCCGACCGAGAGAGGGGGGCAGCCAAGGCGAGGGTTCACATCGCCCAAGGGCCGCGGCTGCTTCCCCGTCCGGAGGCCTCCGCGGCACGGCGAATAGCCTTCGCGGGTGGAAGCGTGAGGAAAAACGTGAAAAAGCCGGTTAGTTAAAACTGCTTCTTCCTCTACACCTTGTTCTCCTCCCCTGTGTGTGAGAGTCTGTGTGCCAGTGGACTCGCCTGCTATTTCAACGTCGGCGGCCGGGGAGCGTGGGCGGGACACATACACGTACGTATTTGTGTGTGTGTGTTTATATCGTATCTTTACACACACTCGCGCGCGCACAGACACACACGATTTACATATATGCGTGTGGGTGTACCCACACACACGATTTACGGTTTACCGTATACACATACACATATAAATCTTTACAAAAGATACAATCCAAAGCAGGAGAGAGGGCCGGCTCGTTTCTGGCATATTTGCCCTGGAATAAGCCCAATTCATTCCACTGGGTTTTTACTCCCAAGTAAATGCGCAGAAGGTTTGAATTACAACTAAGCCAGTGGGAGGAGGGGGACTTAGCAAAAATGCTTTCCAGTTGGCTTATTTGGCAGTAATACTTACGCTAAAGCATCCGTGCCAGCGGGTTTCTTTTTTTTTTTTTTCATTCCCCATAATGCCACAGGACAAAGCTTCATGGTAGGAATTATGGGAAATAAAGGCCGCACAGGCTGTGAATGGGCCATTGATCTCAAAAACTGTTGATCTCTTCTTTGTAGATAGTAGTGGTTATCTGTAGGACCTTCCCACGCAGTCGAATTCACAACTGTTTCATCATCTTAATGTCAAGTTGAAATTGTCTTTGTTCCTATTGGAACAGGTTGCTTTGGCCCTGTGCTCTGAAACCATAAAGAACAAATTTGCTGTATCATCTGTTTTTTTGTGTTCATTTGGTTTTTTTAAACTGGTAACAGGTATATATTGTTTTACGTAATTAAACATTAAAAGAAAAAGGTCTGGGAAATCCTAAACAATGCCAAAAAATTAAGTTGCTCAAGTGCTCCTCCTTTTTCAAAAGAATTCAAATGTGAACACACAGGCTTTTAGATTTTATTTTTTATAATGAGGAAAAGTTCAGGTAGGTGGTAGTCATGTAGTAGTATTTTTATTTAGAATCTGCTTATTTCTAAGTGTGGTACAACTTCTGTTTTTCTCCAACGGTAACCCTGTTAAGTAGGTTGGGCTAAGACAGTGATTAGTGAAAAGTCACCCAGGTGGGAGATGGTAGGAAGTATACAGTTGGGTGCCTGGTTGTTGTAAAGGAATGGGAGATATTATATGCTGGTTGGAAAAGGGTATGATGGAGGGTGGAAGGAAGAACAGAGCAAAAGACAGATGATCAGAAAGCTGCATCAGATGGAGTCTGCTGGACTTGGGTTGACAAAGTAAAATGGCATCCATTAGTTTGAGGTAAGGCACCATCAGCTGTATTGTCAGACCAACAGTGCAGCTGGAAGTCCTGGTCTGGAGCCTGGAGGCTATAAGGACCTGGAGGAGTTAAAGTGAACTCAGATTAATTCCTTGCATTATAGTGTTGCTGCTTGTCAGCATCAGTCTGGCTTAATTCTGGCTGCAGCTTTCACTTTGAAGAGCAGGTGTGTGATTTGGGAGTCCTTCTGGATTCAGAGCTCCTGATGGAGCAGCAGGGAAAGGGCATGACCAGGGCGGAATGCCTAGTGTGCCAATTTTGACTGAGGCAACCTAGCAACAGTGATTCCTGTCCTCATCTCAGGTAACACATTCTACATGGGGCTGCCTTTGAAGGTGAAAGCTGACTGGTAGCCAACCTGCTAACAGCAGCATTTTTAGCATAATTCCAACCAGTTTGGACAAGGCAGCATTATTGGGTCACAATATCATCTTAAAGCGGATCACAACAGTGGCTCTATTGTATGCAAACACAGCATCAAAATAAAAACCCTGGTCCTCAAATACATTTCTCAGTTAAAGGTGAGTCTGAAAAGGTTCGTAAGAAGCATAAACTGGAATTAGGAAATAGGAGGTTCAGCCACAAGTGAATGAGAAGAAATAGAAAAAGAAGACAGCAATAATTCCAAGGCTTTTGACACCTTTGTATTCTTATATATCACTTCCATAACAAACTAGTACCACTCGAGCAAAGCTCAGAACGCTTCTCTTTCACTTTTCTACCTGTAGCAAATGTATAGGAACCAGTTCCCAGTATATATTTATCTTGCCTGGAAATCTGTACCTGAATACATACAACATGTTAAGATAAAGTTTTGTTAACTGGCATGTGTGATTTAGCATGTTTTCCCAACACAGCCATGTACTCTTCAAATCCAAGCAACTGAGGTTATTCAATAAACCATGGGCAAGTAAACCACAGGCTAACTTGTTGAACAAACATGTTACTATTGTAGGAGCATTTTACTTGCCCTGTTCCACGTTTCAGTATGTCTGAGTTCAGATCTCATGCTAAGCCATATTTTAGTGAATAAGCCACAATAAGCTGGATGTAAACAAGGCACTATGCCATAAATTATGAATTATTGCTCATAATGGCTCGGTCTCACATCACATTAAACTCAAACAAAACAAATAGTATGATCTGGAGTGATTTATTTAAAGAACTTATGGAATCTAGCCTATATCATGAAACGCTGATACAGGTCAAGTAAATCATGATGCATGTCTGCATCTCAGTTTCAGACCTTTTCTCTGCAGCCTTTGGAGCAAAAGAAAATGAAGAGGCTAACCATTCAGTAGCCTGTTCTTTCTCCTTCTAAGAGCAACCGTTCCCACAATGCAGCCAGTAAAACTATACTGTATCAGCAAGTTTAAGAGAGGCTTCAGGGCCTACTAAGCCATAATATTTTGTTGTTGTTCTTTAACTGAATGTTGTGTAAACTCAACCAATTGCAGTTTATTCAATAAATTGTGGGGAAGCCTAGGCAATTTGTGTAGAGATAACAAACCAAGCACTGAAAGAGGGAGGTGTGTTTCTCTCTCCAGCAATATTCCAGAGTACTCTTAGTGAGCTGTGCAGTGAAAATAAGAAAAGTCTGGTCGTCTTACCCTGCTTTGTCCCATATAGTGGGAGAAATATGATGAACTTATCTGTTTACACAGGCTAGGGCTCCACTCCTCAGAAGTGTTCTCTTCCATTGTGTAAATTCAGAGGTCATATTTACATTTTTTCTTTTCTTGATGGTCTAGTATAGAATGTCCTTCAAGGTTGTCCTGACATGTTTACAGTTCCTTTTATGGCAGCGGTTCCAGACTTCCATCTTTATGTTATTTATATTTCAGTTGCCAAACAATTCCCAGCTTTTCATTCGATTATGACATATCTTCCTTCTATATGCACAAGCTGTCTTCCTATCCAGTAGTGCATTGGTGTGCGTGTATGTGTATAATTTATATATTTCTTTTAAGAATACAGCCTGAATTGTGGAGTCCTTGGGGTTCTCTGAACTTGGTTCTTTTCTTGCAAACATTTCATTACCCGGCTAGGTAACATCTTCAGTGCTAAAATGGGATGGGCTTTGCTCTCTATTTATATACAGTGGCATGCTTTGCCAGTGCTGGGGGGGGGGATTCTGTTTTGCTCCTCTGGTAGTTCTTTGATTAGCATATGT